TCTCTTTTTTGAGGTACAGTTTCCACCCAATTCATGTACAATGTACAGTGAAATACAGTTAATGGCCCGGGAGTTAAAGGTTAACAAATTCAGATCACATTTTCCTCTTTGCCTCTTTGCGTATTAAATTATATTAAAGTTATTAAAACTATTTATTGATAACTTTTACACCAAGGTTTATTATTCAATCCTTTGTTATATAAATTTCAACATAATCGTTGTTTATCTTACTTAATCAAATAATTATTAAATTAAAGCATTAATTAAAAATATTTCTATATTCATTAAAATTATAATTAACCATAATTATAATAACATAGTACTTATTATTTCAAGAATATTCTGATTGTTTTAGAGATTAGAAGCTAATTGATCAGTGATTGGCTACTTATTATCTAATATAATTGACAAAAATGATTCAACATGGTATTTCTAATCACTAAATTAAATCCCCTTTTAAGAAATATGATTAATCAGAACAATTTGCAATAAAAATTTTAATCAAATTGGTAACATGTGTACCAAATATGTAAATAAAACATAAATGTATTTATGTATTTCAATTGAAATTAACAACATTTTATTTATTTTTCAAAAAATCCCACATTTATCATAAAAACATACAATTAATCAATTACCAAAATATCACGTTTAGCTAAGAATAATCAGCCTTTTAAAACATTTATTTGTACCACTCATGCAATCACATATTGTTCACATATTGGGAAAGCCCGTTTGATATCCCGTTACTATACGTGTCCTTAATTTATTATACATCCAAAACACCTCACAAACCCTTAAGTAGAATAAAAACCAAACAAAAAAAATTTCATTAAATATAAGCCAAGAATTGAAAGTGTTTTTATGAAGGTTAGAGAGGAGTCAACAAAAAAAGTTTCTCGATGTTAACATACGGTGTAATCAATACTACTTAATATCAATAGTATTTTTATCTCGATGTAAATACTGTGTATTTATATACACCGGGGAGTGTTTGTAGGGAGACTTATATACACCTCTGGGCTATTCGTTGAAAAGCACTTTTTGAGAAATACCAACCGTTGAAATCATTAATGTAAAAAATACGTAAACTTTTTTCATATGAATTAGACGGAGAGACACACTATTTGGGGAAACACCGAATAATTAACTAATTGGAGAGCATTTCTAGCATATAAAATACGATAAGTATATAAATCGAGATGAGTTTTGGCTAAAAAATCATAACAACTCAATTGCATCGAGTGTTTAAACACAACTTCTCATTCAAACTCTTCTTTTTCTTAAGAAGAAAATACATTTAAAAAAAAAGTTTTACAATATTTTTAATGCCATTTTTGGCAATTATTTGCAATCAAACCAATTGAACATTTTGTACGGAAAAAATACTTTAATTTTAAACTATAAATTGAGTGAAACATCTGAACAAAACATGTCATCAAATACTTTCGTATCGATTGCATCGGAAACCATTGCCTCGGAGCTGGACATGGAGTTCATACACAACATCGACAATAATGTGACAAACAGTGTATGGATGGACAGCCGGTCCAGCAGTTTATGGCACTATGTATTTCACGAGTACTGGCACAACGAGGGGTGTCCGCAAGCGGAACACCTGCCCCTTATGGGTGGCGGACCCCTACCCGTACTCATCATAATGAGCGCATACCTGCTATTTGTCACTAGAATTGGGCCGTGGATTATGGCTAAAAGGCCTGCACTGGAGCTGCGAACCCCGATGCTAGTGTACAACACGACCATGGTCATTGTCAACGCCTACTTTTTTGCCAAATTCATCTCATTCGCCGATTACGGCCGAGTATTCACCCGATTTCAGTTCCCCTCGCCGTACGACCGCTCGCCGGCATCGGTGGCCATCGTCTCCACCACTAACCTATACTTTTGGTCAAAGTTTGTGGATCTGATGGACACCGTGTTCTTCGTTCTGCGCAAACGTCAGCGCCAGGTGTCGGGCCTTCATCTCTATCACCACACAGTCGTCCCGCTGTTGGCGTGGATGACAATGAAGTTGATGCCAACGGTTCCGGCGTTTCAGATCTTTGGCCTATTGAACTCGTTTGTCCACACAGTTATGTACGCCTATTACGCCCTCTCGGCCTTCGGGCCCGCCATTCAGCCCTACCTCTGGTGGAAGCGCTACATCACAATGATCC